ATATAAACAGCCATCCAAAAGTCCCAAACATGTTGACTCCAAATTGCTCATTACTTTTTCATCGACAACTCACTACTCACAAGTATCATATCTTTGGGCCTTTATAATTATATTATGGGTTTCAGTTTGTAAATAAAATAGATAGAACAGTTCGTATATAACGATAGTCAAATAGTGTAATAAAGAAATTTTATAGTCATTAATGATAATGATTTTATTTAAAGTCGAAAAACGCAGGAAGTGGTCGCCCAATCTTTCGAGACACAGGCTCATGTTAAAAGTGCTCGACATTAACTATTACAACTATATATATATATATATATATATATATATATATATATATATATATATATATATATATATATATATATATATATATATATATATATATATATAGCTGCAATAATCAACTACTAAGCTTGAAATCAGTGCTCCCATCATGCTTTGCCCGCTTAGGGTTTAAGGTTTAAGGTTTTAAAGTTTAAGGTTTGCGAAGGACAACCTTTATTGAATTAGCTGTATATATATATATATATATATATATATATATATATATATATATATATATATATATATATATATATACATACATATATATATATACATACATACATACATATATACATAGGCTATATATATATACGGTATAAACCAGAGGCAGAGAAATTTAAAGTGGCACTCGCGTCAAAATTTTTATTTACTTATTTTCTTAAAATGCTCTTAAAACTGTACAGTAACTTGTTTTGAAGATTTTTTGTTTCCATGCTTAGTTCTTGAGATATTTTATCCTGTTTGTAACCATGTGACGTCAATGACTCAATTACATATATAATGAGATATCAGTAATTGTTGTGTATCTTTGCTATTTTTGATCAAATCTTTTCAAAGATGCAGCGACGCGTTTCTTAATTTAACCTACATAATAAGCATACTGTTTTTTTTTAAACAAATCCATCAAAAACAGCAAAGTACACAACAATTACTGATGTCTCATTATATATGTAATTGAGTCATTGACGTCATATAGTTACAAACAAAATGGAATATCTCAAGAATTAAGCATGAGAACAAAAATCTTCAAAACAAGTTATTATACAGTTTTAAGAGCATTTTAAGAAAATAAGAAAATACGAAAAAAAAATTTTGACGCGAGTGCCATTTTAAGTTTTTTTGCCCGCAAATTAAGCATTGGTGGGTAATATCGCAAAACATTGGGGGGTATTGCGTGCGGGGGCACGTAATATGATATAAATTGTATGGTCAAACAGTAACACAAGATTAAAAACTCCGGCTATCAAGTATCAACTATACGATTTTTCAGACACATTAATCAAAACAGGAACCAACAGACTTGGTTCACACATCAGTCAGTCAAAAACAAATACAAATATAAAAAATCGAGCAAAGCTTAACACACAATGATCACATTATAAAACGTTTGTAACAAGGGTTCATAGTCATTGTTCCATTATATTGAAAAGCGCCATTCCTTATTAAGCCGGATAGACGCACCAGGATCAAGTTACACGTTGTTACTGTTTCACTTTTAAAGTTCGTCCAATTTTATCAACCTTCTAACTTCTAAGCGTTTTGAAAGAAAGCCAGAAAGTAGTAATAACATTTTGTCGTATTAATATTTGTAAACCATAATGCATGATCATTTTTAATAACAACTAGTTTAGTTAGTACACCATAAGCAGCCGGGGGCAGTTTTAGTGTAAACTATTTCTAGTTTTAATATTTGCCTGACTTAAACAGCTAAGACACGAGGGGTGTAAGTGAATCTTGTCTACGACAACAAGTGGGAGATCGTCGTGCGAAGTGAAAGATGACAAGAGCAAGACCAACAACACAAAGAATACCAACGACGACAAAGACTACAATCAGCCATGTAGGTACACCGCTCTCGCATGACTTGGCACATTCTCCGCCGCCAGTACAGCATTCTCCCGGTGGACCGCAATCGCTGTCGAAGTTACACGTTTTACCAACACAGCTTTTAGCACATATTTGTGGATCGAAACCCGTTTGCTGACAACAGTATGTGCCAGGGACGCATTTTAACCCATCATCACACGCTTTCAAACATTTCCGCTTTGTTGTACATCTCTTGTCTACTGTATTACAACATTCACCGCCTATTCCGCCGCATTCAGCGTCATCTTCACATGTTCGATCAGCACACGTTGGTAAGCATACGAAAGGGGAGTACCAGGCGCTGTTTTCCTTGCAACAGAATGATGCATTTGGTTGCGTACAATTCAATCGTGAACGACACTTGGTTGCTGCTTCTTCTTTTGGGATGAACAAAGCGAAAACAATTACTGAACCAAATAATAAAAAGCGATACATTTTTCTCTGCTCTGTCGCGGTTAATTTCCCGCTGTATAGGCCTGTTCTGATAGCTCTGGCTTCTGATCGAGAAGATAAATTTTCTCGACCCTCATCCGGCGAAAGTTTTAGATATACTGTTGTAAAACAATACCACAAATCACATTGTGGCACAAATGCATTGATGTAAATAGCCTGTGATGCATTGTGGGCATTTGTTCTGATTGGTCACGACTGAACTGAATGGATTTTGATTGGCTGGACTTTTAGTGCAACCCAAATGCTGCAATCCGAGGTTGACCTGTAGGGGGTAACACGTGTACTTGAGGGCAACTTTTCGGACAAACAAACAATAAGCTAGATAGCTAGTATCGGTATGCACTAGGAATTGATGTTGTCTCGCAAAGATTTAAACGAAATTTGGACACAATTTGGAAACAGCACAAATTGTGGTAAGGAGTTTTAATGTATCGACATGGATATCGCTTGGAAGACGCGAAAATTTGAAGAAAATGTCGCTGTTCGACTTAAGAATACTGCTTATAAATACAATGATTTGGTTAATTAATACTTGCACTTCACTTGGTGGAATTAATTATTAGAATGCTAGGGTTTGTAATCCAAGTGAGAATATATACATTTTAAGACCTGACCAGGAACGACTGCGAAAAATACAGCAGAAGGTCCTCTGGTAGGAATTGAACCTACGGCCTTGCGATTCTGGTGCAGCGCTCTAATCAACTGAGCTATGGAGGCTAGCGTTGAGCTGTAACCGTAGTTCATGTATATATAGGTAATCGGGTGTGCGGGTTGTGATAAGATGGACATCAATGATTTGGTTAATACTTGCACTTTACTTGGTGGAATTAATATTAGAATATTAGGGTTTGTAATCCAAGTGATTATGTACTGTTTAATAAACGAGCAGGAGCGTTTTAGTCACGAGCGCGCAGCGCGAGTGGCTTTAGACCTAATAAAACACGACCTGCGAGTTTATTAAACGGCTTCAAACACGACTACAAATTCAATAGATATACTGCCTTATAGGCCAGGTGATCTCGTGTTCGTATTTTAGCCAATCAGCGCTCAGAAAGGGTTGTCCGAATAGAAATCCTTTTTGATGTATTCAGTCAATTATATCTCCCGTTATTCTTTATGAAACTAGTTGAAATTTTGTAATTATGTTTGGTTATGAGAACTATAGCTCTGACAAAAATATGGAATCGAAATAGAGTATATTACAGGAGATATTCAGTTGTTTTAATCATAAAATGGATTTCTATTTGACAACTAGTGCCAGTACTTTTCCGCGTATCAAGATCATCTGGTAAGTATTCCTTATATAAAGAATACTAATGAGGACACAACTACAATAGATACTGTCTTATTAGTATTCTTTATATAAAGAATACTAATTGGGAGTGTTTTATCAGGTTTAAAGCCACGCTGGACTACATATTATGGTTGACATGATTTGCCAATAAGCTTATGAATTAAGGTTACAGAACACCTTTGAGTGTACCCTGGGTGCCAGAGGTTCTTCCACGCTCGTAGGGGGGATAATGAGCGATACACGAGGATTCCCTCATTATCCCCCCTACGGAGCGTGGAAGAACCTCTGGCACCCAGGGTAACGATACGCAGGCTAAGACGTAAAGCCTGCAGCACACGAGAGCTATCAGCTGAACCAAAAGTTACTCGTGCCTGTTAGCTCAGCTGATAGCTCACCGATCAAACATGTTTGATACGTGAGAAAAGGTTGCATGAGGCAAAAAACTCAGTAAAATGTACGCGCACACGGTAAGCTATCGGCTGAGCTAACAGGCACGAGTAACGTTTTGCTCAGCAGATAAGCATTTTATCATATCAATGATAGACGCGCGCTAGTCATGGACTCATGAACTTTTTGCGTCTTCCAAGCGATATCCATGTTAATACATTAAAATTCCTCACCACAATTTGTGCTATTACCAGAATGTGTCCAAATTTCGTTTAAATATTTGCGAGACAAGTCAGACAACATAAATTCCTATGATACCAGCAGTTGTTTGTTTGATCTGGTTTCTTGCGCTTCACTTGGTGATATTAATATTTGAATGCTGTTCTTAGTGTTTGTAATCCAAGTGAGTATATATATACATTTTAAGACCTGACCAGGAACGACTGCGAAAAATGCAGCACAAGGTCCTCTGGTAGGAATTGAACCTACGGCCCTGCGATTCCGGTGCAGCGCTCTAACCAACTGAGCTACAGAGGCCAGCTGTTGAGCTGTAACCGTAAGTTCATGTCTATATAGGTGATCGGGTGTGCGGGTTGTGATAAGGTGGACTTGAATGATCTGGTTTCTTGCACTTCACTTGGCGATATTAATATTTGAATGCTGTTCAAATATTAAAATATTCAAGTCCACCTTATCACAACCCGCACACCCGATCACCTATATAGACATGAACTTACGGTTACAGCTCAACAGCTGGCCTCTGTAGCTCAGTTGGTTAGAGCGCTGCACCGGAATCGCAGGGCCGTAGGTTCAATTCTTACCAGAGAACCTTGTGCTGCATTTTTCGCAGTCGTTCCTGGTCAGGTCTTAAAATGTATATATATACTCACTTGGATTACAAACACTAAGAACAGCATTCAAATATTGTTTGTTTGTCCGAAACGTTGCGCTTTATAGCACACAGCCCGGGCTGAGATTTCACCACGGTTTGAACTGAAATTCTAACTCATAATAATACAAATATTAATGTTATAATAATAATAAAAATAATAATAATAATCCCGGGCTGAAATTTGCCATGTACTGCGTGAAACAATTTCAGCTCGGTTAACCGGGTTGAAAACTCCCCATTCGCCCCCATGTAATCCAGGCCACCAGAATCTGGACATTGGAGGAATCCTGAATCCTTATCCTGGGCCAATTTTCTGGAATCCACGACCGATCTCGAATCCGGAATCCAAGTGGCAAAGTGGCCTCTTGATTAAATTCAAATATTTTCGGAAAAAAATTATGCCATGTCCGGAAAAATTTTGTAATTGTCGGAAAAAAAATTATGATATAGGCCACATAAAAAAAATTACTTGTTTAGCGTCCACCCATTTTAATTTTTCTAGGTCGGGCGGACGGATTTTTTTTTTTTTCCGTAAAATGCAACACAAAATTCTGCTAAATGCAGGAAATCCAGTATATTACCACAGTCAAAACTCACTTTAATTCTTTCAAAATCCGTTCATGTTTTCAACTTCCCGTTCATGTTTTTAATAAAACAGAAAATTACCGTTTGGCGGTCACGCGCGAACACTTTAGCTGCGAACAGGCATATTCTGGGAAGGAAACTTTGTGTAAACGTATTACATAGCTCCCAGAAGAATAAAATCACCATTTTGTCAAGTAAAACGGTCTTTTTTATAGAGTTTTTCCACTAAACTCGGACAAATTAAAAAAAAAAAAAAAAAAAAATTGGAGGTCGGGGACTTTTATCAGGTCGGGCGGGGACGCTAAACAAGTAATTTTTTTTATGTGGCCATATCCGGAAAATTTTTTGTATGTATGCGAAGATAATGATATGCCCGCAAACATGTCATTCCTCTCTCTTTGGATTCCGGATTCCACTCCTAGGACTCCGGATTCAACTACCGAGAAAAGGGCACGTTTGAAAACTTGGGGGTGGCCTGCCTCCCCCCGGTTCCTACGCCCCTGTCCTACATGTATCCCATATTGCATTGCGTATACCTAATGTTTTGGTGGATTGGAAATTGCGTGACGTAAGCACTTCTAAGGGTTATTGGAGTTTTATTCAACTAGTCAACTGCTATATCCCTATAGTCATTCATTTAGTCAACATTTCTCAATTTCATTTACTTGTTACCAAATACAAAACTACTCAGTATATTGAAAAGAATGAACTTTGTTAACATTATTTGGCAGTTGACCGGCACCTATTATTAAGTGCAGCTATTTTCATCCTTTAATTATATGGAAATTTTTGCTACGGGTCAGTGGGTAGCTGCAGCGCTAGTCTACAATGGTATGTTTCAGTAATTCTCAAACGAGTTTCGCTAAGCTGAAGGTTATTGTAGATCAGGGAAATAGGCAATTCCAGCCATAGACTAGATTTTGATCTCGGCAAGAAGAACAAAATCCATCACCACAGCTAGAAAGAGCATGTTAAAATGAGTAAAATTGCAAAGTTTGTAAAGTTGCAAAGGCCGCGCAATGTTGTAAAATGTGGAAAATATAGCCCTGCGAAATTTGCAAATTTTGTACCTAAGTCACCTAACCAGGAACACCTTCGAAAAATGAAATTTTAGGTCCCTGCCAGAAATTGAACCTGCCGTCCTGCGATTTCGGTGCACCAGCTGAGCTACAGAGACCAGTTATCGAGCTCTAACCATTGAACTGTAAATAAACTGGAAGGCTAACTCAGGGGGGGGGGGGG